GGCAAGGTGCCCCGCGGCTCCACGCCGTCGACCACAGACTCGGTGCTCGCCGCCTGCATACATGCGGCCTCCTCCCCCGCTCGCCGCTCAACCGCCAGTCTCCCGCCCTCCTGTTCAGGGCGCGACGGCCAACGTCGAGACGACCACGATTACCACGCCGGAGGGCTCCGTCTCTGCCTCCGGCTGGTTCTCTTGGCCCAAGTTCTGCCCCTCCTACTTGCTCCGCCTCTTTGGCATCCTCGCGCTGCTCTGCCTCGGAACCGCGTTTGCGCTCTCCTCGTACCCTGCCACCTCCGCGCTTCTCTCCTCGCGGTGGCACGAGTCCCCGACTTCCTTTCCCGCAGTCACAACGCCCATCGCGCCGGCATCGCTTAACGGCTTCTGCGAGATTGGCGGCGACGACACCAGCAGCTCGTTTGCAGCCATCGCCTCTTCGGACAGCGTGCCCGCCGACCACCCGGTGCTTGCTCGCTCGCGCTTGCTAGTACCCGCACCGCGCCAGCTCGTGACCCACAGCCCGCGCGCTGTTCAGGGCGGGCACGACGAGGGGCGCTCGTTGGAAGCACTGATGGACGACGTCAACGAGGCGGTGGGCGAGCCGTTGCTCGTGACCCACAGCCCGCGCGCTGTTCAGGGCGGGCACGATGAGGGGCGCTTGTTGGAAGCACTGATGGACGACGTCAAAGAGGCGGTGGGCGAGCCGTTGCACCTGATTGGCGAGCCGCCGGCGTCCGTCGAGGACGTTTACGAGATGCAGCCGGTGAGCGCCCCTCTGCCTGTTTCTGTGTGCGAGGGAGCCTTGTCACCCGCTGACGGATTGCCTGTGTGTTTGCGTGTAGGGCGAGGCCGACTTGGAGACCGTCCTCGCCTCGCGCAACAGCACGGAGCGCAAGGGCGAGCCCGAGGTCGACTCTGTCGGTCCCGTCTACAGCAACAGGACGGGGATCATCGCTCGGGGGTGCGACACCGTCCTGCCCGTGAACGACACGCCGCCCGAGTTGCGGCCCGCCGACGCTGGGAACAGGGTGCGGAGGTTTGTTGAGACTGGCCTCGGCGCTGGGACCTCCATCCTGCTCGTCTCGCGCAAGAAGGCGATCGCCGTCGTCCGCATGGGCGCCGCAGCGCTGCTCGTCAGCAAAGCGGTTGCCACTCCCACAGAACCGGATGCCAGGTCAAGCGTCACTCCTCGCTCTTCCTGCACGTGCCCGTCTGCTTATCCAAGGTGCCACGACAAGTGGTGCTACGCCCCGGACGGTTCCTACAGCAACGGCTACGGCTGTGGAGCTCGCCTCGGCGACTCGTGCTCCACTTCTTACTCGCCGCCGTCGTCGCCGTCACCGCCGCCGCCGCCGCCGTCGCCGCCGCCGTCGCCGCCGCCGTCGCCGCCGCCGCCGCCGCCGCCATCTCCGCCGCCATCGCCGCCGCCGCCGCCGCCGCCGCCGCCGTCCCCACCACCACTCTTCCTCGACCAAACCCCATCCGCAGACGGCCGCCGCCGCTTCCCGCTGCCGGCCGTCCGCCCCAACGGCAGTTTTGCATACCCGCCAGTGCCAGACTGCTCCGCCCCTGACCGGTTTGGGTGCATCGGTGTGCCAACGACGGTCCTGCCGCCACTGGCAGCGTGGAACGGCTCGCTAGAGCTGATGGGCGATGTGGCCGATTACTTGGCAGAGTTCGCCCTTCCTGGAGGGAGCAGGAGGACTCGCTCCACCTCTGTGGCGGACGTTGACGGGGACGGGTACATGGACATCGTGGTCGGCAACTACAACCAAGAGAACCAGGTCCTCTTTGGGAGCGCGGACGGGAGGAACTTCTCCGAGTTCGCCCTTCCTGGCGGGGACAGGGATACTACCTCAACCTCGGTGGCGGACGTCGACGGGGACGGGTTCATGGACATCGTGGTCGGCAACGAGTACCAAGAGAACCAGATCCTCTTTGGGAGCGCGGACGGGAGGAACTTCTCCGAGTTCGCCCTTCCTGGCGGGGACAGGGTTACTACCTCAACCTCTGTCGCGGACGTCGACGGGGACGGGTACATGGACATCGTGCTCGGCAACTCCGTCCAAGAGAACCAGGTCCTCTTTGGGAGCGCGGACGGGAGGAACTTCTCCGAGGTCACCCTTCCTGGAGGGAGCAGGAGGACTCGCTCCACCTCGGTGGCGGACGTCGACGGGGACGGGTACATGGACATCGTGGTCGGCAACTACAACCTGTTTGGGAACCAAGAGAACCAGGTCCTGTTTGGGAGCGCGGATGGACGCCGACGGCGCTGCCTGCAACAAGTGCGTCGCTGTCGGCACGGCGGCGGGGCACATGGCGGCCATCGCCCTCGGCCTCTGCGTCGCGTTTGGCCTCGTGGCGTTGGCGTACTCAATTCAGCGCGGGCAAACCAAATGGAGGAAGGAGCGCTTCATCGGGCTTCCCTTGCGCATCGCCGACCGCACCGGCGACGCGATTTACAAAATCGGCCTCATCCCCAAGTTCAAGATCTTGTTTGGCTTCTACCAGGTCTGCCTCGTCCTCTCCACCACCTACTCGGCGCGGCTGCCGGAACGGTACACGGGCTGGACGGAGGCGCTGGCCGAAGCCGTCTTCATCGACTGGTCGGGCGTCGTGCTGCCGGTGCAGTGCCTGCCGCACAAGTCCCGGCTCATCGCCGTCGCGATCTCTCCCATCGGCGTCATCGCACTGCTCCTCTTTGCTGGCATTGTCTTGCGGCTCTGTGCTCGCTGGCGGCGTGCTCGGCGAGGGGCTGGCTGCGAGAGCGGCTCCGAGGTCGACGGCGCGACAAGCAACGTTCTCGGTGCTGGCGAAGCACAGCTGCAGGACCAGGAGCCACCATCGTCTTCAACTGCGGAGCCACCGACGGCGCTGGCCGAAACTGACGATGCGGCGGTCTTTTCATGGCCTGCAGAGGTGGCGCTCGGCCTCCTCGACCTCACGCCGGCGGGTCTCGTGCTCATCTTTCTCTTCGTGCCGTCTGTGAGCGCCACAATCTTGCGCGCGTGGTCGTGCCAGGTGCTAGCCACAAACAAACAAGCACCCCCCCCCCCCCCCAACCCCCTTAGCTTGTGTCGATGTGCGTGCGCAGGGCTACACCACCTCTGCGCCGGGCGAGACGCTCGCTCTGGTCGAGTACATGCGGCAGGACGCGAGCGTCGAGTGCGGCACCGACGAGCACGACTCCATCACGAGACTCGCCACTGGCTTCGTCGTCCTCTGGCCGGTCGGCTCGCTAGTCCTCTACTCGGCCCTTCTTCTCGCATGCTACAAGCCGCTGCAGGCCAAGTCGCCGAACGCGCTGACGAAGGCCACCGCCTTCCTTCACCGGGAGTACAAAATGAACTGGTACTGGTGGGAGGCGGCCGATCTGGCCCGCAAGCTCTTTCTGACGGGCTTCGTGCTGCTGGTTGCCGAGGAGGAGGACTCCTTTGTTCGACTCGTCGTGGCGGTGCTCGTGTGTTCGTGCTACGCCGTCGCGATCGCCCTGGTCCAGCCCTACAAGCGGTTCGGGGACAACATCCTCGCCGTGGTGCGCCCTTCGCCCATCCCACGCGCCCTTTGCGCTTGCTTGTGCTGCAGCTCTCAGCACACGCTTGGATCGCCGTGGCCAGTCCATCACCCACCCCACACACGCCCTTCCCACTGCAATTTACTCTGAGCCCAACGCACGCGGCTCGCACTGCAGGCCACCAGCCTCGTCCTCCTCCTCCTCTTCCTCGGTGCCAGCTGGACCACCATCTTCCTCAACATCGAGTTGCGATTCCCCGGGGGCGAGCCGGGGCAGTCGGCCTCCGCCGTCCTCGGCTTCAGGTCTGAGAATGGACTGGTGAACTGGATGCTCGTCCTTACTGCGGCTGCGCTCCTGATCTTCCTCGTGGGTACCATCATCGCCATCCGCCGCCTTGCCAAGGTCCCCACGATTCGCCTCGTCTCAACCAAGCAGCCCCCCGAGCTGGCTCTGGTGGAAGGCCTCACGTGGCACCTCTTCCTCTCGCACATCTGGTCAGTCCTGTGGTCAGAGGGAGACGCGGCGTAGGAGAACCCGCCAGAACGACCCGCCACTCCCCGAATAGGTCCACCGGCCAAGACGCCGTCGCGGTCATCAAGAATGAGCTTAAGCTCTTGATCCCCGGCATCAAGATCTTCCTCGATGTGGATGATTTGAAGGACATCGGGTCGCTGGAGGATTACGTTGACCGCACGCAGGTCATGCTCTTCTTCCTGTCGAAGGGCTACTTCCGCTCGAAGGCACTCCCCCAGCCCCTCCCTTTCCGAGAGTGCCTCGCTGTGTCGCCCACGACTACTCGTGCGCTCCTTGCCTGCAGAACTGCCTGCGCGAGATTCAGACGTCGCTCGAGAAGAGCAAGTCGCTCGTCCTCGTGCAAGAGGCGGACCCGGCCAAGGGCGGCGGGACGCTGCAGGCGCTCCCCGCCCGACCCCTGCTCGCTGCGGGGATTGCTCTCGCCACACACGGCTCTGAGGGGCGGTGTCGCCGCCGCCGCCGCACGCCAGCACTCACTCACGCACACCGTCGCTGCACGACTGCAGGAGTTGCGAGCACAGTGCCCGGAGGTCCTCCAGCCGGAGATCTTTGACAGTGGGTGGGCGCAGACGACGTGGCACCGCATCGACGAGTATCAGCGTGTCTCGCTTAAGATCATCTCCGAGGTGCCGCCACGGACAACTCCCTGCAGCTGTTCTGCCGTCGCCTCGACCTTGACCGCCGCCCCCTCGCACCTACCCTCAGGCGCTCCTCCTCTGCTCGCCACACTACCTGAACCTGACCTCCCTCCCGCTCTTCATCCCGGGCGAGGTCCAGGGCCAGCCGATCTCCTTCTCCAAGTCCGTCGTGCTCTGGGCCTCGCCGTTCGATGAGGGCGCAGACGAGCTGGCCACCGAGCTCGCCACCAATTTCTCCGGTCTCACCGTCTCCACCGCCGAGGAGGCGGGCGACGCCACGCACATGCTTCTCTATCTGAACGCCGACACCTGGTCCGACGAGCGGCTGGCCGAGCAGGTCAAGCAGGCGCGCCAGGACAGGCTGAAGATCGTCATGGCGCACGAGAACGACCTCGACCGCGGCGGCTGTGAGTTCGCCAAGTTTTTTGAGACCACGCCGCAGGAACGCTGCCGATCAGCGGTCGATCTTTTATGTCCCGGCCCGCTCCATGCCCCGTTCCCCGCCGCCGCAGGAGCTCATCAACGCCGGGCTCTACAACGCCCTCGCCATTGCCTGCTTCCCCGGCCTGCACCATGAGGTGCGCTCCCCCGGCGGCAACTTTGCCACAGCACCCGCCTCCTGAAGCGACTGATCTTGCACCCCCGGTCTCACAGGTGTCGCTCGTGCTGCTGGCCAAGGCTCTGGGCGCAACCCCGGTGAGCGTTCGCTCGAGCATCCGCGACTCGCTTTCGAATATCGGGCGCTTCACTACCGCGCCTCGCGGCTCGACGACGTCCGACCCAGTCGTTACCGAGGAGGATTCGCAGCTGGAGCAGGTGCCAGAGGTGGAGCAGGTGTAGAGGTGGCGAGCAACTTTGCAGTTCGGCTCAAGCGGCAAGGGTTGGACGCGCTCCCCACTTTCAGGAGTGCGCTGCTTTTGGCATGGCGTTTCATGACATGCTGAGGCTTCCTAGTAACGACGAGCTAACATTAGAGACGACTCTCTCTCATCCCCACTGTGAACAGTCGGGATCTGTATCTGCGCAGCTAAATTTATATAGAGCTGCGCGTGTTGTGTGTCCGCGCTATTGGCGCCGTTACGTGAGCGGAGCTCCGGCGAGAGGGACTAGAGCCGTAGCGCGTGTCGCACTAGTTGTACTTTTCGTAATAGTAAAATTAGTATACTGTGTTCCGCATTCATTGCGAGGGCGGACCACTCGGCACTCCCAGTGTCACTGTCAGGCAGTGAAAAAAAAAATGCGTTTTACCCTGCGAAAGACACTACTCTCCCCCTCCCGTCACTCGTCCCCCTTGGCGTGGCGCGCCTCTCCCCCAGCTCTCGGTATCGCGTACTGCACGAGGCTACCGTGGGCCCCGCCCGACACACACACACACATTGAGATTAGGGACTGAGGGAGGGTGTAGAGGATGATGGATGTAGAGTGAAACGCGTAGTGCAAGCCTATTCAAGATTACAATGAGTAACTCAACTCATCCTTTGGCAGCTTGTATTGTTGAGTATGAGTAGTCATGACGTCTGGTATCCATGAATATGAATAGTCACGTCTGCCTGTACTCATGAATATGAATAATGTATTCAAATACAAGTGCGTGAGCAACTTGCAGGTAAAACCCGGGTATACCCGCAAAAGTCCAGGTATACCCGAGAAATACCCGAGCGCGCGTCCACATGCCGCGCACGCCCTACTCGCAGGGCCACTGCGCCAACTGCGGCGCACACCGCCTGCTCAAGTACGCGCACCGCACCATGTGTGCTCGCTACAAGTGCCAAAAGGCAGCATCGGCGCAGCGCTAGGCGCGGCTGGCAGGTGGCGGTGCGGACGACGCGGTCGTGCCGACATTCTGCTACAAGATTGAGGCGGTGCTCGGCATGCGCTTTTGCGACCCCGATCAACTGATCGGAAAGAAGCGGCGCAACAGGCTGGCTGCTGCCGACAACACCATTTGCTACCTCACGCGCGGCACGTTCAAAGAGGACCAGCATGACGCAGGCTTTGCCGATACACGCTGGGTTGAGCTTGAGGAGCTGTACGAGAACTGCGGCAAGGCGCAGCTGAACGGCGCAGTGAAGAAGTACCGAAAGGCGGAGGATGAGGCTGTGAAGGCTGCGATTGCTGAGTTTGAAGAGGGCATTGAGGATTAGTTAGCCAGTAGTGCTAGTGGCGTGGCTCGATAGAGGATTTGTCGTTGTTCATGACCGGGCTATCGTTTCGCGTGCGCTGTGAAGAGAATAATGACCAAAAATAAAACACACAAACGGAGCCACAGACAATACAGGGCACCGCGGCTAGATATTCACGATGCCACGTCGGCGGCATCCGACGACGAAGCCGCCCCGGCCGCCCCGGCCGCCGATGAAGATGCCGCACCGGCCGCGCCCGAGGAGCCCTCCTTGTGCTCGCCCCCTTTGCCTCGGAACAGCTCGTAGTACTTCTCCTTGATCGCTGCCACTGCCGGCTCGAAGGCCTTCTTGTTGAAGCCAATCCTGACCAGCACAGCGAGGTGGGCCGGGTTGAGGTTGGGGTCTGCCAGCAGCCCAGCGCGAGAGAAGATCTGCTCGACGTTGGCCTCGTGCGGCAGGTGGCACGCAGTCTGCTTGAAGAGAACGTAGTGCAGCGGGAACTTGTTGCGCAGCGCCCACATCATGGCGAACTCGTTGAGCAGCCCATCCTCCGTGGTGAACTTTTCGTACTCCTCGACGCCCATCCCGGCCCACCGTGCGACCTCGTCCGTGACTGGGTCAAAGTCGTCTGGGGTACCGTCGTTGGCGCTGCGGGGCGGAGCCTCCGAGTCAACGGTCTTTGCCAGCGCAGCCCCGCGGAACAGTCCCTGCGATATCTTTGGCTTTTTGGCAAGACGCGGAGGAGACACCCGCGTCGCCACGTTGGCGATGGCGACGGCAGCGCGCAGCCCCTGCAGGTACAGTGTCTTGCCTTGACGGACCCAGCTATCGGGGAGGTAGTCAGCCACAGGCATCTGCTTGGACATGTAAGCCTGGACGAGGCGCGCGTTGGATGGCCGCAGGTGGTCCTGGCCGTGAAAGAGGCGGGAGTTTAGCTCGTCCTGCATCACCTCGCGCGCCTTCAGCACACCCTCGCTCAAGTCTGCCGAGTCCCGCGTGATGAGGTTAGTCTTGCTGTTGCGGTAGTCGCGGTCTGCGACGCTCAGCGTCGCTGGGAAGGGCTTCACAGCGAGATCCGCAGCGGGGTCGCAGAAGTTTTGCTTGAGGTCGTACAAGAGCGCCATGCTCTGGGCTCCCGTGCAGAACGGCACGCGCTCGATGGTCTCCTTGATGTCGAAGGGGTAGGAGAGTACGGCCTCCGTCTCCTGGCTCGCGTCCCAGTCTTCGTCGTCGAGGCCTAGCTCTGCTGCCGGCACTGCGCGACCAGCCCTGTTGCCTTGCTCCGTCTCGTCGGCCTCAACAATCGCCTCCTTGTTGCCGCGGTTGTCCTGCTTGAACTTGTGCACGGCGGGGTCGATGGCGAGGCGCAGCATGTTGTCGGTCGACACCTGTGAGTACTGGTTGCCCCACCGAGTTTGGGCAGTGCGCACGAGTGTGAGCAGCTTGTGCTCGGGCACACTCGCTGAGCGCTGCGCGTCGGCGATCATCTTGCCGGTGGCGAGGCTCTGCCGCGTGAGCGTGACTGCGCGGTTGTGCTTGCGCAGCAGGTCCTTCATCTCGGGATTCTTTGAGGTCGCGCTTGCGAGCCCAATGGCGTTGAGCACGGCACGCTGCAGCACATGCAGAAGGCACGTGTCCACCTTCTCCCCAAGGTCTGGAATCATGGCCAAGCCGCACTGACCATCCGCGGCGCCGTCCGGAGTGATGCCAGCAATCATGTTGTGCGGCAGCTTGTTGGCGAGGAGCACGTTGACGAACCAGCTCTTGATGGCCTCGCCCGTCTTCGAGTTACTCGGGAAGATTCCAAAGTCGATGATCTCGCTGCGTAGCCAGAGCTGCTGCCCCTCGTCCTTACGCGGCTCGTCAACGTAAGTCATAGTCGCGCACGCAAAGGCGGTGTGCGTCGTGGTGTCGGTCCACATGTCGAGCTGCACACCGACACACATGCCGCCCTTGTACTCCTTGTTGAGGCGTGCGATTCGGTTCCTGCGCGCCTCTGCCTGCAGCGCATCAATAGCCTCTGCAATCCAGTCAAGGGTGTAGATGTGCGGGAAGCTGGCGCGAGGGTCGTAGCCCCGCACGTACGCGCGGAACTCTGGCTTCTTTGTCATTTTGTGGGCGAGGCCGATGCATCGCAACCACACAAGGTCGACGTGGTGTGCGAAGGCCTCCGAGAAGCTGTGGATCTGGACCATGTCGCCATCAACCTCGATGCAGTTCTTGCTCTCCGCCTCAATCTTTTGCAGGGCGGCTTTGTGGTTCGCGCACTTCGGCGCCATCGCCCGCAAGTGGGCGATCAGGTTCGAGTTGGCGACGCCCTTGCCGGAGTGGTGGGTAAGGTTGCGCTTGCACGGGCAAAGCCCGCCGCCCTCCAGCTCGATCGTGCACTCAAACTCAGCACTGTACTGGCCAGCATGCTTACCCATCTCGATGAGCTTGTCAGATCTGATCGTCCAGTACCGGAACACCTCTGCCTTCCCAATGCGCAGTTTTGGGAATTCAGAATTGCTGTCTGACGTGTCGATCGCGGTCTGAGCCTCGCCGCTGCCTCCCGAGCCAGGCAGAGCAGGCGCAGGCGCATCAGCCTCTTCTTGCGGAAACGTTTTGTAGTAGTAGTCGAGGAATGGCGTCGGATAACCGCACCAGAACTTTGTGCTTTCGAGGTCGCTCCTCTCCAGCGATCCTGTGCCGTCGGTGCCCATCTCCTGCAGCTGAAAGGCTTGTGTCGGCGGGGCGCCAGGCTGCATGCGGTGAGCGATCTGAAAGTCAAGCACCGTGCACAGGTACTCCGTAGCTTTCTCTTCGGCCGTCATGCGCCCTTCCCAGAACGACCCGAGGAACTTGACCTGCGTGCCGATAAGATTCATCGGCTGCCGAAGCAGCTTGTATTTTTGCACTTCTAGCCGAGGCTGGGCCTTCTTCCTCTTTGGTGGCATATGCGAAGCGCTGGAGCAGAGGCAGCGGTCGGTCGAGTCTCAGGGAGCGCGTTTTGGGACGTGACCGACTGGCCAGTAGTATTCATGGACTTGAGTACAAGTACTCACGCATGCGCCAGACGTACTCATGAGTATGAATACTCAACTGCGGTGGTACTCATGAGTTGAGTACTCACGATGCACGTGTATTTTGAGTACAATACTTGAATACTCTTGTAATCATGAACAGGCTTGGCGTAGTGATAGTCGAATATGCGGCGCTCTCGGACCGAGACGAGGCGAGAGTAGCCGATGCTAAAGTCATAGTTCGGGCACGCGTAAGCCGTAACGCGACGGGACACGTGTTTCTCACCAACTCTATAGGGCTATAGCCGCACACGCGTCACGCCCCGGACGCCGCGAGAAAAGGCACGCGCCGTCCGCGCGCTCGTCGGCTCGTCCGCTCGCTTGCGCACATTCCCTTGCACCACCCACGCCGCCATGCGTTTCGCGCTGCCCATCACAGAGAACGCGCACCCCCCACAACACCCGTCCGACGACCGCCTCCGAGCCCGAGCGGGAGAGATGAAGCCCTCGGAGCTTTCCAACCTGCGTGCCAGCTGCGTGCCCGCCTGAGTGCAAACCTAGTCCGTGCTCTGGAGCGCCGAGAAGAGGGCGCCCGACGCCAGCAGCACCACAGCGCCCAAGCCGGCCACGCCGCCCGACACCAGCTGTAGGGCGACCAGCGGCGCGCTGTCGTCTGGCACCGCAGCAATCAGCCCGACCTCGCCAGCGAGCAGCGCGACGGCAGCGGCGGTGAGCAGGCCGGCCGGCACATTGATGAGGGTCTCGGCGAGCGCAAGGACCTGCAGCTTGTCGGCGAGCGGCAGCAGCTTCTCGGCCTGGCTGATTGCGCCCGCGCTCTCCAGCTTGGAGAAGACGCCCGCCTCCTCCGCGGCCGAGAGAACGCCCGCCTAGGGACGGCGCCGCGAGACGCGAGTCGGTGACAGAGCTGCGCGCACGACGCAGCCGGCTAGCGCGGGCGGCAGCTCACCTCGGCAAGGCTGGTGAGCACGCGCAGGTCCTCGATGCGGGTGAGCACGCGCACGGGTGCCTTCTGCGGGCACAGACGGGACGAAGCAGTCAGAGCTGTGCTTCCGGTTTCGTGTCCGGCTGGCTGCGCAGGAGCGCGCGGACGGAGCGCGCGCCTGCGCCGCCTTGCCACTGTAGAGGCCCATGTTGTCGAGTGAGAGCACCTGCGCAGAGCGCGGCCGTCTGCGGTGAGCACGCAGGGCGGCGGAATACGGCGAGACCGAGAGTGGCGACGGTCAGCGCGCTGCGCGCGCGCCTTCTCGCCCATGCTGACTGCCGCGCCGCGCTGCGCGACCGGCCGGCTCGCGAGCGGGGCGGTGAAGGACAACAGCGCAGCGACGGCCGCGAGCATCCTGGCGAAAATGAATCTGGGTGGACTTCGCTGGAAAGAAAAAAAAACCGGGCTTGGAGGGCCAAAATGGTGTTTTCCGAGGCGCTGCGCTAGGCTCAGAGCGAGTTCGCGCTGCGCGAGGCTCAGACGGCGAGTTCGCGCTGCGCTTGGCTCACAGATGGCGAGCGAGTGCGCCGCGATAGATTTGCGCTGCATCTCTGAATTCCCGGTTCCCGCAGGTGAATTATTGCGATTTCGCCACCCTCCTCGCCGCCCTCTCCGCCACTGTCGCCTCCGCGCTCTCCTCCGCCGTCGCCGCCGCCCTCGCCTCCACCGCCCTCTCCGCCACCCTCCCCGCGGCCTTCTCCACCGCCCTCTCCGCCGCTCTCTCCTCCGCCGTCGCCGCCGCCCTCGCCGCTGCCGTTGCCGCCGCACTCCTCCCCGCTGCCGCCCTCACCCTCCCCGCCGTGCCGTCGGTCTCGCCGTCGCCTTCTTCCGTGTCGGTGTCGCCGCTCCGCCGTCCGTGTCGCCGTCGCCGCCTCGGATCCGTCCGTGTCGCCTTCGCCGCCTCCGTCCGTGTCGCCGTCGCCGCTGCCTTCCTCCGTTTCGCCATCCCCGCCGCCGATCTCACCTTTGCCGCCTCTCCATGTCGCCGTCGCCGTCGCCGCCGTCGGTCTCGCTTTCGCCGCCTCTGTCCTTGTCGCCGTCGCCGCCGCCGCCGTTGGAATCTCGGTCGTGTCGCCTTCGCCGCCTCCGTCCGTGTCGCCGTCGCCGCTGCCTTCCTCCGTCTCGCCCTCCCCGCAGCAAGCTCGCTTGCCGTCGCCGTCGCCGCCATCGGTCTCGCTTTCGCCGCCTCCGTCCGTGTCGCCGTCGCCGCCTCCGTCCGTGTCGCCGTCGCCGCCTCCGTCCGTGTCGCCGTCGCCGCTGCCTTCCTCCGTCTCGCCCTCCCCGCAGCAAGTACTAGCAGAGTGCACACCCCTGCCTTGGCGGGTGAGGGTCGTAAGAATCAAAGCCTCTTGGTGCCAAACGTGCTCGAGCGCGCCGAAGAGAGACGATCTACGCTCGAGGGAGTTAGCCAGCCTGGATTTCTTCTCCTCGGCGGGCGAAAAGAGAAATCCATACGGATAAGGTTTCTTTTTTTCATCCCCTACCTTCACACTGCTGTGAACAGGTGCCGAACCCATACTGTGACCTCAGAACATATGCATATGCGGGGTGTGTTCTCTCCAACTCAGCGCCAGCTTCCAGCGCCGCCGGCCCGCCTTCTCGCTTCTGTCACCGCCGGGGCGATTGTCTGAGAGTCAAGAGGATGCGGGCCACGCCTCAACCTTCTTGGGCAGCAGCTGGCTCGTCAGGTCCTCTCCGTGGCCTAGGCAGCCGGTCTCACCCTTGCCCCAGGCAAAGATAGCCCCATCGGCGGTGAGGGCGAGGCTGTGGATGCCTCCAGCCGACACAGCGACGACGCGCCAGCACCGGTCGCTAAAGTGGATCTGGTTCGGCTTCGCTAGAAAGAAGAAAAACACGTCCCTCTATGTTCTTTCTTTCTTTCCCCTCCCTCCCTCCCTCGCTCGCTCACTCGCTCGCTCGCTCGCTCACACTCTCTCTCTCGACAGAGGGGGCGCCCCAGAGACACATAAACTGGCAGAAAGAAGGCTACGAGCTTGTTGAAGGAATTGAAGACGACCGTCCTTCCGTCCACCATGTGCTTCGCCTGGAAGCGGCCAGAGGAGCTGTACACGCCCTTGTACCCGGTGCTGCTGCTGGAGAGGAGCCTCCACCGCCGTGGCGAAGGTGCCGATGGAGACGCTCCTGCCGTCCACGGTGTGCTGCGCCTGGAAACCTCCACACACCTGCTTGTGCACGCCCTTGTACCCAGTGCTGTTGGGCTTCACCGGGGGGTGCAGCTTCAGCCCCTCCGCCTCCGCTACCGGAGCCTCCTCCTCACTGTGTGGAACGCGCTTGCGGATGCGCGCCCCAAAATGTCCGCCGCAAAAGGCCTCGTTCTCGCCCCTTTCCTGTACGCGTGGGTCTCAGAGGACGAATGCGCACCGGACCTTCGAGGACATCAAAGTCGGCTGCGCCCTACGGCCATCCAGCCGGCTCTCGAGTGTCGCAGCGCGACGCGCTTCACCCCTCGACTCCGCGCTGCGAGTCGATCTGGAGACGACGCTCGGCCACCGCCAACTCCACCCTGACGCGTCGCACATGCGCCGAGTGTCCCCCCCGAGGGTGTCCTTGTATAGTATGCTTGGTTGCGAGTTAAAAAAAGCCCGTTCCGCACCCGCACCCAGCACCAGTACACATGCCGTTCTGGTGCCCCTCGGCTGGCCAGAGGACGACTCACAATGCAAAATCGGAAAGACGTCACGAGGGGCCGTATAAACGGTACCGCAGCGGCCCGGGACACTAACAGTGAATTGCTGCCACTCGCCCGGCCTCCTCCCCCTCGGGGTCGCCCGGAAAGTGGGCTTGCGCACCGGCGCCCCCCCCAGCACGCCGACCCGAGGTGTACCCTCCGGCCACCTGGGAGGGGAGCGTTCTCCCTTTTTGGCCCATTGGCTTCACCATGATGGATACGGAGGTGGCCAGCCCTTGGTTGTGCACCTGCGGCGCGAAGAGGAGGTGATCTCGGCGGACGACGGCCGTGCCAAGAGCGGGTGCAGCGCGGAAGAGGGTGCGCAGCGCGTCGCGGCCGCGCGCTTGGGAGCCGGGGGGATGGCCGGAGGGGGTGGGACGCCTGCATGTCCTCGAAGCTCCCACCCGCATACGTAAGCCGAGCCGCGAACGGCGGGGAGGGAGTTTTGGAGGGTCAGCCAAGGACGCGCATGGCGAGTGACAAATAGAGGCGACTTCGCTCTACACCGGTTTGCCATCGTGCTCCTCCTCCTCCTCGCCCTGCTCGAGGCAGGGCGGGCACATGTAGAGGCCGCTCTCCTGCCCGGCACACTCGGCGTGGCACCATCGATCGCAGGCGTCGCAGGTGATCCACACGCCCTCAAACTGCACGCCGCTGGTCGGCAGGTGGCGGTCGGTGTCGCACCAGCAGCCGAGCTCGCCCAGCTTGAAGGAGGCGTCGACCTCGCCGTAATCCAGGGGCGGGAGGTTGGACGGGTCCTCCCCCGCGAGCCGCAGGGCGTGCCGCGCCCGCTCCCCTCCGCTGCGGAGGCGATCGACCTCGCGGCGCTGGAACGGTGCGGAGGGCGGCGGGTGGGCACCTCTCTCTCTGCCCTCTACACTCGAGTCAGGCGCATCGCCCAGCAGTAGGAGAGAGAGAGAAGAATATAGGGTGGATAAAGCGCCTGTTCACGGCATGGAGGGTGAGCCACGCTGAACGTAGAGCCGAACGGGAGGAAGCCGGGGAAGAAGACTCCGAGGAGGACGAAACACCTGTGGTAATCCCGTCGTCAGCTGTCACGATACACCCGAAGGGGACCCCAGCGCCAGCATCATTCGTGGAGGTACAAGTGTTCGAAGAGAGAGTGGACCTGAGCAACGATATGACTTGGTTGGCGGCAGATGATCGCAGTGGGCGTCAGAAGAGTCGTCCTTGCGCGAGGAGAGCTCGATAAACTCGACAACAACGAGGGGCCAAAATATGCCGCGAGGAGGGCAGAGCTGCGACGAAAGGCGAGAGAAGCCGCGAGAGCAAGGGAGCGGCAGGCGGCGGCGGCGTCGCAGGACGAGGCAGAGGAGGGCGACGCGACAGAGGAAGAAGCGACAGGAGGGAGAACGACGAGAGTGGGACGACCGCGAGGTGGCATGAAGGTTGCAGCGAGAATCGGCGAGAGACTGCGAAGAGAGATAGGAAGAGGCAGACGCCCAAGGGTGGGCGACGGCTAGCGCACCACACCCCTCTCCTTAAAATCCCTGTGTGGTGGCGGCGTGCCGTCCTCCCATCCCTCCCTTGGGGGTTGTCCGTTTTCTTTCTTTCTTGGGTTAGGATGGGCGACGCACCACACCCCTCTCCTTAAAATTCCTGTGTGGTGGCGGCGTGCCGTCCTCCCATCCCTGCCTTTTGTGTGTTTTCTTTCTTTCTTTCTGCGGCGCGCCCTCCAAATGCCACACCAAATTCCAAAAAACAGCGAGCCCGGTTCCCACGCTCCCTTTCTTTCGTTAGCCCTCGCACAACACTGCAACGCTCGACTCTTCGCACTCCTCCGCTCCGCTCACCAAGCCGCTGCTTCGCATCCGCTCCCGCATATCACGACTCTCTCGTTGCACCGACCACTCCTCGGACCTCGCTCCCGCGGTCGGTCTCTCCCCACCGTCGACCGGGTACTCTCTCCCCAGCTGGCCCTGCCACGAGAGCTCCCACGCTTCCTTCACGCACACAGTGGCACAGGAACGCCTCCCGCGCTCGGTGCAAGCCTTTGCTCTTATCGACATCCCAGAGCTCCGTGCGCTTCTTCTCTTCCGCAGGCGAGGCGGGCACCGGCGCCCTCTGCTAAGCGCGCGCTTTGATGCTTGCAGGTGCGACCTTCGCCGGCCGGGCCGCAGGTGCGGCGGGAGCGCGACTAGCGCGCCTTGAGCGTGGTCACCGAGTACGGGCGGCCCTGGCGGCTCGCCTCGAGGCCCTCCCAGAAGATGGAGCACGCGTCCAGCATCTCGTGCGCCGCCTGCCGGAAGCGGACCTCGTCCGAGATGAGCCCGTCCTCGATGGCCTCCTCGAGCTCGTCCATCGTGTGCGCGGCGTGCTGCGCCTCGAGGGCCTGGTGGAAGCGCCAGAAGCCCATTGGGTACCGCTTCGCCCCCGCCGGCCGCTTGGCGTTCAGCAGCTCGAACCCCTCGATCAGCTGGTCCCAAAAGCCGGCGTTGGCCCAGTGCTCGATGGCAAAGGAGGCGCCGAGCGCGGTGGACAGGTCCTCGGAGCCGTAGATGCGGTACAGCGCGTCGCAAAAGTGGAGCGTCGCCTCCGATCCGTGGCGCCGCTTGCCCAGCTGGTCAAAGCTCAGCCCCATGTCCTTGCCGACGTCGCAGAGCCACTCGAAGTGGGCGGCGCGGTGCGAGAAGACTCCGCCCTCGACAGAGCCGGTGACACCGACGACGCTCGGATCGAAGCCCTTGGCGGCCGCCTCGCGCGCCAGCTCGGCCGTCTTCTGCTTCTTTGGCTTGAAGACGACCCCAATCTCGTTGGCGAGGATCTCCTTGCCCTCGCGTGCGCCCTCCAGCGTCGGCGAGTTGATGACCTTGTTCAGTTGGGCGAGGAGGAAGAGGTTGGAGAAGACGGAGAACTGAACGACCAGGTCCTTGACCTGCTCGTCAGTGGCCTCGCCCTTTGCAAACCACGAGCAGTACTCGTTGCGTGTCACCACCGGGTGGCAGGAGACGGCGGTGAGCGCAGAGGAGGCGAGCGGCGAGTGAACGCTCGCCGACTCAGCGATGCTTGCCAGCGGAGTGCGAGCGCGCAGCGGCGGCGTGCGCGAGATGCCGGCGGTTGCGAGCCAGAGTTGCAGCATGTACACCACCGTCCAAGGCGAGTTGCGTCACGTCCAGGGTGGTCGGGGTGGCTGCAGGGTTTCTTCAATTCAAAAACCTATGTCGCACCCACCCCAACAACCCTCGAACTTGTGGATGTGCCGCACCTCGGTCGGGGGTGGTAAAGTGGGAGGATCTTCCTCAGTCAGGTTGTCAGGTATTGCCAACACGCAACAGCATACCGAAGAGGTCTTGTTCGGCTCGGGATTTATTTGAAGTGAAGCTGAAGGTCTGTTCGCACCTGAGTGGGAAGGTAACGGGAAAGAATGGATCAGAATGTGTGTGTAGCTAGGCTCGGAACGTGTTCTCATCACCGGGCCCCTCCCCCTGGCCCCTGGGCCCTGATACAGCCTCACCGGAGCGGGAAGACAAACAAACAACTCGAGTTTAACAAACAAGCAGATGTAGACAGACAGAGTGGCACGGGTCACAGCTAGCGGATCCTCGTCCGCCGCCTTTTTCTCCGCCGTGCGGTACGCCTTGAGTGCCCGACTCAGGTACATACAGCTCCTCGGCACGGGGGGAGGTGTCAATCACGCTCCCGGGACGCCGGAGAGATCGGGTTGGTCTCCCCCGCCTTCAGCCCTGACCCGACGGGGACGCCACCACCCTCGCCCAGGGATCTACAATGCTGTCTTAAGGTCCGACAGGTTCGGCACCGGGCACCGCCTCGGTATACAAAATGCGCCTGCGGGCGGACCCTCACAGATCACAGATCACATACAGCTCCTCGAGCTGACCTACCCAGCGGGTATCAATTCAACCCCTGCCAGGCGAGTACAGCTAGAGAGTACCGGGGGCTTCCCATACGGGAGAGTACAGCTAAAGAGTACCCCCCTCCGGGAGGCCCGTGTCTGAACATCTTTAGCTTGTGACTTTGGAAAGGAGGGTTGGTTTCAATGGAAGGCTAGTCGTCATTCTGGTCCTCTCCAAACGTGCCGCGGGTGAGGTCTCCGCAGCGGCCAGCTCACATCCCTCCCTTGGGTTGTCCGTTTTCTTTCTTTCTTTCTTTAGTTGGTCCTGCGAGATAGATGGATTGTTCAGTCGCGTCGCACATCTCCACGTCGTTATCGGCGACAACGTCAGATGGCAGGGGCGAGCAGATTGGGTCATGAGAGGACGGATCTGAGACGCTGCGCTGGGGTCCGGAAAGCGCCCACATCGTGCTGACTGAATGAAGAAAAGAGGGACGTACGACGTATCTTTAGGTGTGAGAATGCGAGCAGACATCGCGTCGTGAGGACCCTTTCCATTCCAGTTTTTTGTACTTTTAGTTTAATACCGCGTAACCATGTAAAATTTATTAAACAACACGCGATGATGGGTTCTCTCTTTTGTACGTACTAAACTATGTGTGTGTCATGGAGCCTGCGGATCCCGGCGATCAGTCCTGCACTCGCGAGGTGATTGACGGCTGGGAGTTCGACCTGGAATGCCTCGCATTCAGCGCATGCGGCGGGGCACCTGGGCACCAGCCTGTGGAGCTATTGGTGCGGGTCCGTACCCCCTCGCCGCGCCGATCCTCACGCGGAGGGTAAAACCCTGTGGGACAAAACCCCCCCGCGGTCGGCAGTCTTCAGAGTGGACCCCCCCCTCCCCAGCCTCCCCTGTGCATCTCGCACCCCCCCCCGCTCCCCATCGGTGACTCGCGAAGGACACGGACACTCGGGGTGAGGGGGGGTCCCCCCGGAGGGGGCTCTGGGGCATTTTTGGGTTGATCGCTTGTGCCGATCTCGGGTCGATCTCGGGTCGATCTCGGCACTCGGGACTCGGGTCGATCTCGGGTCGATCTCGGGTCGATCTCGGGTCGATCTCGGGTCTCGGGTCGGTCTTGGGCGGGTCGGTCTCGGAGTGGTCTAGAAAAGAAAAAAAATGGGGCGAGGATGAGGCGAGATGACCGCATGGAGGCGCAGATGAGGCCAGATGAGGCGAGACTAGGAGGCGAGATGAAGCGGGATGTTGTGTGGCTGCTTGTGCTGCCAAGCAGGCAGCACAAGCAGCCATACAAGCGAGGTTCTGGCTGTGTGGCCGCCTGCGCAGCGTGCTCATGAGCAGGCAGCACAAGCAGCCACACAAGTCAGCTTTGGGAGCTCTCGGCGACGCCCAATGCGTGCGCCGGTAGGGGGGAGTGTGTGCGCGCGTGTGTGAGATGTGGATTGTGGCAGGCTGCTGCTGCTGATGGGAAGTGTGCTCTGTGTGTGGCGCTGCGCTGGCGTGCGACGCGCGCGTGCTGTGTACGTGTGCGTGTTGCGGTCGCGCGCGCGTCTGCGTGTGCTGCGCGCGCGCCGCCGGTGTGTGCTGTGTGCTGTATTCTGTTGTGCGCCCTGTTTGTGCAGCTGGGAGGCGCAGGCTTGGCTGGCAGGGCTGCGCGGTGGGCTGCGGCGTGCTGTGGGTGGTCGCGCGCCTGCCTGGTGGTGTGCGGCGGCCGCTCAGCCCGCCCGACCGGGTCGTCGGCGGCCCAGGGCGCGGGCATGCGGTCTGCGCTGCATGTGAGGCTGTGTGCGCGGCTGGCGCGTATGTTTCCGTGCGGCGAGGGACGCGCGTATGTGTTCACGCTGCGGGCGCGGGCGGGCGCGGAGGGCGGCGCGGTCTCACCGCGGTCCGACGCCCGTTGGTCTTCTGCGTGACGAGGCGGGCGCGCAAAGAGGCCTTGCCGCCATCGCGTTGCCGCGAAGGAAAAAGAATTCGAAGCCTTTGGCCGATAAACGAAATTATAAGAAACTGGATCACGCGTACGTATCTCGACACTCCGTCCGCGTGATCTTCAAAAACCGACGCCAGCAGCAACGCCCGCACGGTCGCTCGTCGTCGAGCTTCGCGCCGGCGCGCTGCGAACATGGAAGCAAACGAACGGAGGCCGCGCAGCCCGTACGCTCATTCCGGGGCCTTCGGCCTATGCCAAGCCTCGCAAATACCGCACTCTGCAAGACGTCAGAGCGCGGCTGCGGTTGGACGAGGTCGCCGGCGGGGAGCGAGGCCGGCCAGCAGAGGAGGGGGCGCGGGACGGCGACCCAAAGGACGGCGCTGCTATTGGGGACTAGTTGTGACGGCCTCCACTCCCCCTCCTCCCCTATGCCCTCCCCCCCTGGGACCTGAACCCGCCTCCTCCCCTAATAAGCCCTCCTCCCCTAATAAGCCCTCCACCCCTAAGCCCTCCTCCCCTCTGCCCTCCTCCAGACCCCCCCCCCCCTTCCCGCCCCCGCCCCCGAGCCCTCACGCCTCCTCGCCAAAGAGCCGCAGGATGGCAGCCCGCTTGTTGGTGCGCGCCTGAAAACAAGAAAGGTGCACAATGAAAGACCGGGGCGGTTGGGCCGTCGCACTCCTCTCGCATGTGCGCGCGATCTCGAGCGCCGACTTTCCAAACGCCGAGACCGCCTAACCTCGGGTGATCTCGGGTGATCTCGGCCGATCTCGAGCGCCGACTTGCCAGACGCCGCAGATCGCCTTCTCGGGCATGGCAAAGTGAGGTGAGATTCGCCGAGATTCGCCGAGATTCGCCGAGATTCGCCGAGATTCGCCGAGATTCGTGCTCATAGGCGCGCCCTTGGGTCCGCGCCGCCCTCGACTAGCGCGCGGGCGGCCTCGACCTTGTTGGAGCGCGCGGCCATGCAGAGCGGGGTGAGTCCGTTCTGCCCGCCTACGCGCCAACGACCAGACACCCCATGAAGAGGAGCATGGAGAGACTTGGAGGCAGGGCGGGAGTGGAGGGTCTCACGCTAGGCAGTCGGCCGCGCACTCGGCCGCAGCGCGGGAGGGCGCGCGCGACGAGTGCAGCAGAGCAGAGTGGGAGGGAGTGCGGTGTCTGAGCCCTTGTCTCCTCTCAGGGGCCAGGCGGGAGACAGAGGCCCGTGCGCCGCTTCTAGGGCCCTCTTCTGGACCAGGGCCACCTCGGCTGCACCTCGGCTACACCTCGGCTACCACCTCGGCCACCCCTCGGCTACCACCTCGGGGACGTGTGTATCTCGCGTCCAATGCACGGATCTGCCCCTAAGCTTGCCCTCCTCTGCACATCTAGTCTGCATCTAGGCTTGCCCGCCGATGCCAACGTCCAGGTGCGGGTTGAGGCGCAGCAGCAGCCGGACCATCTCGCCGTCGCCTCGCGTCGCCGCCTGGCGCTCCACCTCGCGAGATCTCGATCTCGCTCCACCTCGCGAGATCTCGATCTCGCTCCACCTCGCGAGATCTCGATCTCGCTCTCGGGCCGTCTCTCGGGGCAATCTCGCGCCGCCGCCTGGTGGAGCACCGTGTTGGCCGTCCCGATCGGCTTGCAGCCAGTCGCGGCCGGGTCGGCGCCAGCCTGCGCTCGGGGTGTGGGGGAGATATGGGGGAGATTGCAGCCAGCCGCGGCCGGGTCGGCGCCAGCCTGCGCTCGGGAAGATCTCGGGGTGGTGTGGGGGGAGATGCGATCTCGGGGTGGCGCGAGGGTGATGCGGGGGAGAGACAGGAGAGAGTGGGGGTAGAGATGTGTGTGTGTGGGGGGGGGGGTTAGAGATATGGGGGCGGTGAAGGGGGAGTCTAGGGGAGATATGGGGGAGACGAGGGGGAGATGTGAGGGAGATCTACTGCCCGCCGAGCAGAGCAGCTCGGCCATGTCGTGCAAGCCGGCGCCCACCGCCTGGCCTCGGGCCGATCTCGGGTCGATCTCGTCCGATCTCGGGACGATCTCGGGGCCATCGGGGCGATCTCGGGGCGATCTCGGGGCGATCTCGGTCCGATCTCGGGGCGATCTCGGGGCGATCTCGAGGCGATCTCGGGGCGATCTCGGTCCGATCTGGTCCGATCTCTCGCCTGGTTGAGCGGCGTGCCGCCGTAGTGGTCCCGCGCGTTGACGTCTGCCCCCCGCCGGAGGAGCATCTTGACCAGCTCGACCGCCTACACCCTCGACCCGCCCTCTCGACCCTCCTCCCGCAACCTCTCCGAGGCCCTGCGCCAGCTCAGCTTGGCGGCCTCTGCGCGCGCGGCGGCGGTCAGCGGGACCGGGTCGTCGTCTTCGTCCTCCTTGGGATCGAGTCGCTCCAGCGCCTAACGGCACTCTCGACAGCGCCTCTGGCCCTCTCGAGCCCCTCTCGATCCGGCTTTGGTGTGGCACTCGTGCGGCGCCAGGTGCAGCAGAGTCATGTGCTCGATGTCGAGCTCTCCCAGCTCGCCTGCGGGACACTTCCGGGAAGGGTCCGAGGAGGGCCCCGTGCTGCTCGCGCCGCGTCCCGCCAGGCCGTAGCTCGCCGGTGTCTGCGTCCTTCTTGCCCCAGTTGCCGGAGTAGAGGTCGCCTGAGAGGCGAAGCCGGATGCGGAGAGGTGTGGGGAGAGGTGTGGCGGGGAGGGGAGGGGCGGTGGGGAGAGGCGGGAAGAGGAGAGCGAGAGGAGAGGCGGGGAGAGGAGAGGAGAGCAGAGCTGAGAGAGAGAGAGAGAGAGAGAGAGAGAGAGAGAGAGAGAGAGAGAGAGAGAGAGAGAGAGAGAGAGAGAGAGAGAGAGAGAGAGAGAGAGAGAGGCGCAACACAGGAGAGAGAGGCAGGAGAGAGAGGCGGACCGGTCAGCTGCGTCCTCATCTCCATCACGTCGGAGAGCACCTCCTCGTCGATGGAGTCCAGCAGGACCCCCATCAGGCTGCTGTTGCCGCAGCGAGCGGCCAGGTGGAGCGGCGTGAGGCCCGCGTCTGAGTGCAGACAGAGCACCTCGCACAGCGCCTCAACGTCGCCGGCGAGCAGCGCCGAGACCATCTCCCGCACAGTCGCGTCGCCGTTTGGCTGGCGGTGGGATTGCGAGGCCGCAACGACCGCGATGTGAAGCGATGTGCGGCCAAATTCGTCCACCTCTGTCAGCTCGGCTCCGTCCTCGATGAGCGCCTTGATCTGCGGCACATCGTACCGGCGGACCGCGGTGTGCAGCGCGAGGTGCGCGCGGGCGCGCTTCTGCCGAAGGCTGGTGTGCGAGGCGGCCATCTCGCAAATGGGGTTGTTTGGTCGTCCGGCTGCGGGCGCGTTGCAAAGATAAGAGGGCAGCCCAAAGGTGATGGCCGCCGAGCAGCGAAGAAAAGAATTACGCTGCTTGATGGGTTGTCTGTGTACTTTTGGGTGGCGTGTTTTCTTTCTTTTTTGTACTTTGGGGGCAGGTGGTGGCAGTGGTCTGGCAGTGGTCCGAGCTCGTCCGCTCGCTCGACGATACATAAAGTAGTCTCTCAAACATGCTGGCTGCAGAGGCCGTGAACACTCCGAATACTGTGACCCTGTTCCGACCTGATCGACCGACCTGATCCGACCGTGCTCGAACAGCGGTCAGCGGCGGCGGCACCTAGGGAATTTCCAGACCATGTTCCGCCCCTGATCCGACCATGATCCGTAAAATGTTCAAAGTGAGGACGTTCGGAAAAACTGCAAAAATCGGCGGCGGGCCATCGGACCCCATCTCCCCCCCGCATGGACACCCTCTGGGGCCCCCGCGCCGGCCCAGAGCCGACGCCGAGTAGGGAGAATTTTGTCTTGTCGAGTCTACGGACCACTACGCTGGCTGGCGTGTGTTGGCGCGCCGCTACTTGCTGTACCCGCTAGAATTCCCACCGCCGTAAGTTCTTTTGAGGAGGAAGTCTTGAGAAAATTCTTCTCTGTGTTAGTGCCACGAGTGCGCGCCAGTCCCGTGCCCCGGAAAAAAGAAAGAAAGCAAACAACCCAAAGGAGGGATGGGAGGACGGCACGCCCATAAACAAATAAAGAAATAAAACGGACATCCCAAGCTAGGGCTGGGTCGAGGACAGTAGTCAGTACAGACACGTCCCCACCTTTGCAGGATTTTGCAAAAGCGAGGGGGAGGGTGCATCGCGGCGCGGAGAGGGCTGGGCACAGGGCACAGGGGATCTCTCTCGGCACGCCCCATATTGTCGTGAGAAACTAGGGGTGTAAAAAATTCTTTTCAGGCGTGTCTGCGCGAAAGTCGATCGCTTTTGCTGCCAAGGTGCTCCGCAGGATGGCCTCGAGCGGTGAGTCGCCGCGAAGCGTCATGCACGGCGACGGGATTGTCGTGCTCTCGACGCACAAAGCGTCGGCAAAAGAGCAGGCGCGCAACGCCGAGCGGCTCAAGAGCCTGCTCAGCGAGCCGCACAACAAGCAGTGCTTCGAGTGTGAGGGCGACGTCGAGTTCCGGACGGCGTGGGCGTCCGTCTCGATCGGAGTATTCATCTGCGCCGGATGCTCGGGGCTGCATCGCTCTCTGGGTACGCACATCTCCCGCGTCAAGAGCTGCGCCGCTGACGACTGGAACGACGACTGGGTCGACAACATGGAGTCGTGGGGAAACAAACGCGCTTCTCTCTTCTGGGAGTGGCGGCCACCGGCTAGGCGGCCGACGCCCGCAGACGGCCGCAACCAGAGCCGACGCATGCGCGAGTTTGTCGCTGCAAAGTACATGCGCCGCGCCTTTTCTGCCGCAGGCGAGGCGCACGAGTGGCGGGTTGCCGACCCGCTCCCGCTCGAGAATGGGTGGGCTCGGTATGCGGACGAGTTTGGCCGTCACTACTTTCACCACACCCCGTCGGACGAGACGACGTGGGAGCTCCCCGACGCTGCGCGCCCCCCGCCCTGCTTGCCCGTGCTCGTCCGGACCGGCGCCAGGGGCTGGCTCGAGAAGAAGTCGGGCGGGCACGAGGAGCGCGGCAAGATGAAGCTACTACAAAAGTGGGACCGGAGGTACTTCGTGCTGCCCGCGGGCGGCGCCGAGCTCTCCTACTACAAGACGGAGGACGACGCGGCGCGCGGCGAGCACCCAGCCGGCTCGCTCCGCTGCGACGGTGCGGAGGTCTTCCTCAAGGAGGTGCGCGACGACGGCGTCCACCGCTTCACCATCAAGACGCGCGAGCGCGAGCTCAAGCTCCGCAGCTCCAAGAGGGAGTTCGAGACGTGGGCGAGCGCGCTCGAGCCCATCGCAGCGGAAGTGGACGATGCGCCGCGCGCGGGATAGAGAGCCGGTCCCCACCATCGCGCGCTGTAAGTTGGGCGTCGAGGCCCGCCGACCGCCGCCGCCCGCTCGCGGTACCGGGTCGCGAGAGAGAGAGAGAGAGAGAGAGAGAGAGAGAGAGAGAGAGAGAGAGAGAGAGAGAGAGAGAGAGAGAGAGAGAGAGAGAGAGAGAGAGAGAGAGAGAGAGAGAGAGAGAGAGAGAGAGAGAGAGAGAGAGAGAGAGAGAGAGAGAGAGAGAGAGAGAGAGAGAGAGAGAGGGGGGGGGGGGGGGGGGACTTCACGGTCACAACGCTGTTGTCGCCCGAAACGTCGCATGTACCTCTGGGGGGCCAAAGATCGACTCGCATGTCGATTTCGACTTGA